CTCTCTCTCTCTCTCTCACTCACACACGCACACACACACACACACACATATTCCAGGAAACCTCTGACTACATACTTGCTGTTCAGCACAGCCACTCTTGGCTCTTGGCTCTGAGTCTGGTTCAAGGGGTTCAAATGACAGATGCCTTGTAATTTACTGTTGAAGGAATGCTGTAGGTTCCAGCTATCAATGAAAGATGAAACACACAAGGCAAGGCTCTTTGTACTCTGGGATAACAATGAGGTGAAGCAATATTTGTCTGCAGGCACTGTTGTAACATGTTTAGATGGACTTGGGTGATCCAAGAAAGAAAGCGCTAAAATAGAAACTATTAGGATGGAAAAGAACACTGCAGAGCTAGAAAAGCAGGTTCATAAACCTAGAAGTAGTTGGCAGAATTTGGGGGGAAAGTTTCTATGGAGCTATGACTTCCAGAATCCCTCAGATGACACAGAATGTGGCTGACTGGGGAATTCTGTGATCTCTACTGTGAAAATATTTTTCCATGCTCTGGTATTTAGCTGTAGTAGACAGTAAGGTCATGCTTACTGTAACAGGTAAATGTAACATGCTTAATGTAACAGGTAAATCTGGATGCATCCAAGTCTGAATCTGACGCTCCAAAGCTGCTTGTGAAGCCAGCTTTATTTTTCCTTTTCTTGGTTTTTTTTAATGTGGGCTTTTTTTAACGTCCCAAATGGATGCTAGGCAGCAGGCTCCCCACTCCCACTTTTAATGTGAATGCTAAATTGAATTAATCTGCTGATGTGACTCCATCAGTCCTGACAGAGTGAAGCTAAACCAGTGAAATAATGAATAGTAGCTGAAGTTAGTAGAAACATATGCTTCCAAATTACAGTGGGTCCTCCACATTTGCTGGGGTTAGGGATGCAGGACCCTTGTGAAAGTGGAAAAACCACAAATTAAAGAACACTATTTTTTTCCCCCTGAGACAATAACACTCTAGGAATCTCTAGATCCTCCAGCAGAACTCTATGGTCAACATCTGGCAGAAGCTGACCATAGAATAGAGCTGGAGGACCAACAAATGCTTAGAGAAGAGTTCTCTCTAGGAATCTTTAGGTCCTCCAGTGAAACTCTATGGTCAAGTTCCAGGACCAAGAGATTCCTAGAGAGAGCATATTAATTAAATCCATGAATAATCAAAGCTGCAAAAGTCAAAGCTACAAATGTGGAGGGCCAATATAAATTGATGAGAAAGTTGCATTAAATCTGATGCCTGGATAGTGAAGATGGAATTCTGGGAAAATTCAGCACAGAATTGGGACTATATGATAATCATAATTACAGTCGTCCTTCCACATTTGTGGACTTGAATTTTGCAAATTTGATTATTCACAGATTTGATTAATATGTTCTCTCTAGGAATCTCTAGGTCCTCTAATGTGACTCTGCCAGAAATTGACCATAGAGTTACAGTGGAGCACCTAAAGATTTCTAGAGAGAACACTTGTCTAGGCATTTGTAGGTCCTCCAGTGAAATTCTAGCAAAAACTAAATTGTTTAGGCAAAACAAGGCATGTGAAGTCTGCACACCTTGTTTTAAGGGGGAACTGCACTGCTGCAGAGTGTAATTCCCACTTAAAACAATATGCATGAGCCCTTTATGTCTTGTTTTACTTCAAAAATGTTATTTATGGAAACCAGAACTAGAGAAAGAAACCCACATCTAGTTGCTTTTGCAACTGTCAGATTTCACCTATGTGGAAATGGATGGATCTGGAGGAACTGAAAGTGGTCCCCAGGTCTGCCAAAATTCCTCAACACTTCCTTATGTGGTATGCTCAGTATCCAAAGGAGACCTATAAAGTGTAAAACCCAGATACCTTCAGATCTTGGCATCAGGTTAGCAAAAACTGTTTTTAATGTTTCTTTAGAACAGGCATGGAAACTATTCAGCCCTCCAGAGGTACTCAGACTGCAGCTCTTAGCATAGGATTACCAATGGTTAGTAATGCTGGGAGTTGCAGTGCAACAACAACTGAAGAACTCCTAATTCTCATTCCTGCTTTAGATATATGGGAGCAGCCATGGAGGCAGAGGCAACTAGGGGTAAATAATTTTCAGGTAAGATGTGATGTAGACAATAAAAGATGTCATGCTGTAATGTTAAACTGTTTTGAAAAGGTTTAAGCTACATCTTTCCCAATGTCACAACCCTAGTTGAGCATGAAACTCTCTCCTATCCTGGATGGTTGAAAACAGAACAAAATATTCTCACAGCTGTCATGATCATGGAATATCACACATTTTGTTTAGTTGCACCTTTAATAAGTGTATATATTCAGTTCAAGGTCCACCACATTAGATGCCCAAGTCTAAAGCTTGCTGTGTTAAACCATTTCTGTTTGAGACCTAATTTCCTATGGTCCTTTCCCATGAAAACCCACTGCCCCCAACTCCTCTTTGAGCTCCTGTAATACTTTGGCTTCACCAGGTAGGTGACTTCCTCTCTTAAGGAGTAGAGGTGCTGGGGAAGAAAACCAGAGGAAAATGTTGGAAGAGATCTTCAGTACCTGCTCATCTGTAACAGCTATGTTGTGCATATCAGCAAGATGAGCAATTATGATAGCCCCCTTGAAGTGTTGTCTGGGAGGCTTCAATGGTCCCAGATGAGACCCGCACGGCTGGTCACTCTCAAGTCAGTGCTGCTATGCTTTTGAACACAACCCAGAGCACTGTGGGAGTACAGTGAACTTCCTTGCCCATCAGATTTGAAAATAAATCACATTGTGTTCTTTTTGATTCAGGAAGAGGACTATTATTAGTTTTTCCTCTTCCTTGCTGGGCTTGCTAATGAGTACAGCCACTTGTGTCAAGAGAAACATGATGTTCCATTCCCACTCCTTATACCTACAAGTGCTGGCTTTAAGGGATATGTGTGTGTGTGTGTGTGTGTGTGTGTGTGCCAGATGGCAAGATTGCCTGCTGACTCCTGACTCTTCTTTGCTACAAAGGCAGAGCAATTGATGAGAGCACCAGCCCCTGTGCTTCAGATATGGAAGGAGCGGATCCAAACCGTGACTCATGTTAACACCGTTTTGATTTAAAGCCTGTGGCTTGGATCTAGCAAAAATCTCCCCCAGATGAAAGGGATCTGTCCTCTCTGGGGGCTGAAGTGAAGAGGAGGCATTCTCTCTGCTTCCCGGATGTCCCTTCCAGAAAATGATTAACTAAGGCAGGGAGGAAGGTTCATTAGCTCTTAGTGCCCCTATTGTGCTGAAGGAGCCTATGCCCTGTGTCTGTAGCTTCCTAACCCCAGAGGAATAGCATGCCTGCTAGCTGCAGGAGGCAGAAACTGAGAACATTGCCCTCCCAATAAGAATTCTGATTCCCCCAGTTCCATCTCCCTTCAGTTCTCAAACTTCTTGTATTTCAGTAATTCAGTTGAGCATTTAGAAATAAGAGTGTTGGCATCCAAGGAAAAGAAGCAGGCAAAGATAGCAAGGGAGTGTGAACACAGCAAATATAAGACTTCTAGAGGTGAATGATGGTCAGTGTCTCACTGTTTGCTACACTAGAAATTTGGTGACTGAAGGACAATTTCGGCAGGGTGGTGGTGGTGGTGGTAGAATTCCTATTTGGAATTGCATACCCCTGATGCCTGCTGTCTCTTATCAGGCATCTGCTGGTGATCTGGACTGGTCAAATTCATTGCTTTTGCAAAACTGTTGGCTCTAGTCCATACATTATAGAGTTTAGTGATCAGGCATGTGCATTGCACAGTTTCCAAGTTCAGTTTGCAGCATCTTCTACTTTTTCATGTGTTTTTAAAGTGTGAAGATATCTTCCTGAAGATCAGCTACCAGATTAAACAACATTTGCAATAATGGATAAATAGGTTTGACTTCACATCAGGTTGCTTCCTGCCTTCCATCCAGTGGCTTTTACCATACAGCTGTATTTTAAAGGGAAGCCCTATTTTATCCCAGTCCTTCCACTTTTCTGCTGTAAAGATGTCCCTTCCACACAGTGCCAACTCTCTGGGAGACCCACCACTCAGCATTCCTACCTTTTTTATCCTCCCTAGTTTGATAGGTAAATAAGCATTAGGATTCCTGACCCTTGAGATGAACTGTCTAGCCTCTTCTCACAAAGGAGTATACATCATGAAACAAACTCATGTAGAACTCTAGATTAAATACAATTTGAGCCCTTTAGAGCAGTATAGCCCTAGCATAACTTAAGATCTTGCTGAACACAAAGAAGTCCCTCAATTCATTTCTTCCTGCAGCAATTCTGAGACATTCTGGTCAAGTGTCTCAAGATGGTGGTCTACAAAAATCATTGCCATTCTGAGGGCTGATTTGGGACTTGTTATCAAAGGTGGGAGGCTAAATAACCTGCCTAGAAGCACCAGATCCTGTTTGGTC